GCGCCGGGGGCCGCGCCGGCGGCGGCGGCGAGTGGCACTGGCCGAGCAGCGTCTGGGCGAGAGAGCAGCCGGTGATGGCCTTGAGGGTGTAGTTGGCGAGGCTGAGGGCGCGGCTCGTGTTGAAAGCGCCGCTGCTGCTGTAGGCTGGGACGGCCGTCTTGTTGTAGTTATAGCTGAACCCGCCGTGCTTCCTCTTTGCCTCGCTTGCGGCCCCCGGGGTCGCGCCCTGCGTGGCGACGCCGCCCTTCGGCTCCCGCAGCGCCTCGGCGGCGGCGGCAATCAGGTCGGCTATGGTCGGCGGCTTGGCGGCGCCGCCTGGCTGCTGGCCCTGTAGCTGCTCGCCCCGCTCCTGGCTTGGCATGGGCCTGCGATTAGCAAAGGACGTGCGGGCGCGCGATGTGTGGCGTCCTGTGGCGGCACAACAGACAGGCTTTTGGGAGATGGCATGCAGCCTGGCGCATCTTGCGAGATGATCCTGCAAGGCTGGCCGTTGCAGCAGCGTGTAGGAGCAGCGATGCATGCTCTATAAAAGGCAGGCCGCTGCAAGCAAATTCGTACCTGGCAACGCTGGGCACGTGCGAGGCCGGCAGGGGGCGCCCGGCGGATGGCTTTGTCTTGTGCTTGGCGCTTGCTGCGTTGATCTCACCCTCAGGGTGACTCGGCCTGCGAGTGGCACGCGGCGCGGTGCGGCACACATATACGACCAGCTCGCACCCGCCAGATTGATACCCGGAGGTATTTAGTGCGACTGAGCTTGTCCTTTGGCAGCATGCGTGCCGATGGTGCACAAAATGGCGCCTGTCGACCAAGCAAGACCGGCGGAACACAAGCACCAGCACTTGCAGGCCGGAGGGTACGACGACGCCCAGCACCCTCCTCGGCGCCCCGCTCACGTGCCAGGGACGGAGGCGGCCCTGACGGTCCCCGGCTTGCCCGGCGCCGGCTTGGCGTACGGGTGTGTGGTTGAGGCGGCGCCAACGCTGCCCTGAGAGCCATGGGGCATGGGCTTGGGCGGCAGCTTGTACGCGGCAGCGGTACTGGTGTTGGACAGGGATGGGGAAGGCGAGCGCGAAGGCAAGGGCGGGGTTTTATTGAGGTAGTGTGCCTGTTTGCGGATGGTCGGCTGATTTGCGGTCTGCAGCAGGCATTCAGCGATGGCATGGTGCTGCCACGGCCGCAGGTGGGGCGAAGTCGACGGGCGGATCGGCGACTCACGGGATCGCTTCGCCAAATTTGGTCTGCAGTAGCCCGCGGCCAGACACGGCGCCTCTGAGAGTCAGTTAATGTCCGTAGTGGGCGTGGTAAAGCGGGGGAGGGGGGGTCACAGTGAGCAGGGGTTGCCCAATCGGAGAGCTTGCGGCAGGCGGCTGGGAAGGGCGGGGCGGGGACCAGAGCCCAACCAACACACAGAATGATCTCGTTGAACAAAGCAATCCATGGGCGCAGAGCTCCGAGGACCCCAGGTTGTGCTCACCTGGCACTAAAAAATTCCTTGTCTCCCCCCTCCATGCTACTCTCGTCCTCGTGCCAGGAGTGTGCGGCCCCCGCCGTAAAGCAGCAGGCCAGTGCAACAGCCGCGAGGCCGAGCGCTAGGGCCCGCCTCCTGGCTGGCGCCATGACTGTCACTGCTATGGCAGAGGTGCCTAAGCTTGTAGTTTGTTTGGCAAAATGCCGCGCACCCGCGCGGGCGCAGCCTAAGGTCGCACGTAGTTCGGTGGTTTTTTCAAGCCGTCAGTGCACTTCGGCTGTTGCTCGACAAGGTCCAAGAGGAGTTCGATTGGAAGTATTGTCTATCAGTTATAGAAGATTGACGTGTCTGGATCGCTTTGCCTAAGAGTCGATCAGTAATCGAGTTGGGCAGCTCCGCTCACTCGATTTACCCGGCAACCGACCAGGCTTGACCAGTCACAGGTCCTGGGCGAATCAACGGAGCCGTTGATATATCAATATGAGTGCTATATTTCATCAATCTGTGGCGGGCAACTTACTGTGCACAGGCGCCTTGCTAGTCTTGTGACAGGCTGACAGCGAACCGCTTGCCGTCGTGCTGCTTTACTGCTTTGCACGCCGCTCATCAACAAGATGCGAGGGACATCGGCAGCCAGCCAAGAAACAATGTTACACAAGGGGCAGAAAAAAGATGCCTACAAGGACTGGAGCTCACAGCGCACACCCTAGCAGTCCAAGCCGTGCGAAAAGCGGTGCTGAATGCATGCAGGGACAGAGCAGCGTGTTCCATTGCAGCATCAAGGATGGTGATTGAGGTGCATGCCGCGGTCAGTCACTTGGTCAGTCAAAGCTGTGTCGATTTTGCAGCAAAGCTGGAGGTCAATGGATGCGCACAGGGTCATTGCAAATGCAGACGCATCACAAGATGGCAAGCTGCCATTGCAGGCTTGTTGAGGGCACCCCATTTGGGTTTAAAAATGGCTGAGTAGCACCCTGAATGGGTGTCTCAAGCACGTTCAGACGTTCACAGGGGTGAGCAGGCACATGGATACCCCACAAAGTTTGGGCAAGGCATTCGGCGCCCGACGCAAAGGGCAGAGCTGCGCGTCGTCCAGTTGGGCACATCGCAGTGCTCCTGCGGGGTGTCGCCTCCCTGCCGGCGGCAAGGATGGCAACGCCGGTCAAAGAGTTGCTGTGGCTCTCACGAATGCGTCCTGCTGGGCTCCAGTGCTTGTGGCGCTCAAGTGGAAGGGGGCTCGTGTCGTCAGGTTGTGTTCATGCTGGGCGAGCCCCCCACTTGTGTGAGTTCAAGGGTGGAGTGTAAGGGATGGGTGAGTCTGGTATAACGGATGCAGCTGGAATTGGCATCATTTGTAACCCTTGTGGCCCTGGTAGCGATGTATCCTTGAACCATGTGCACGATCTCAGGCACAGGGTTGTTGACTCTGTGAACTTGACTGTCAGTATGACCCGCTTACTCACTTAGGTTGAAACCGCCGCCGCCGCTGCGCCCAAGCGCACCGCTGCCGAACAGTCGTCCATTTGCGGCCCCACCGCTGTGCCGCACGACGCCGTTGCCCGCCCCGCCGCCCTGGGCCAGCAGGGAGTTGAGCGCTGCCGCCGCACCGCCCATGCTGCTGCCGCCGCCGTGCACGCCGCCGCGGCCGCCGAGCCGGTCCGCAGATGACACGCCTCGGGGTAGCTGATCAAATACACCACCGCCACCGCCGCCCCCTCTGGTCAGGGCACCAAAGCCCGCGGGCGACTCAGGGGCCAGCGCCGCGCCGCCATGAAGCAGGTTCCCCAGCAGCCCGTTGTTGGCGCCGCGGCTGGTCTGGCCTATGTTCATCCCGTTGCCCCCGCCCCCACCCCCGCCAACGCCTCGCCCGCCCGGTGAGGGGCCACGGAGGGCCATGTTGCTCTGTTGGAACGCGCCTGCTGGTGCGGCAGCGTGGGGACGCCGGAAGACAGAGTTCAAGTGGGATCAGTACACCTGTTCTGGGCAGTAAAACATTCCCTTTGCAACGAGGGGCCCACCTCGAGGAGCTGTCAGCAAGAATGCGAGCCCCTTCAAGCCTGCTGCATTGTGTCCCTGGCTTCCCCCGCACTTTTGCCCGCTGCTCACCGCCCAAGATGTTGCCAGTGTTGGGGCTCATGTCGATCACCGCCGTGCGGCGCACAGTCGTGACCTGGAGGTGCGAGGAGGGCGTCACCAGCCCGGCCCAGCCTGACGGCCCTGTGGCTGCACGCCTGTGAATGCCCCTTTCACAACGCTCCCGCACCTTTTGGGGTAGCTCTGCTGCCCTGACAGGTTCCAATACAGGGGCCCAAAGAACCCAGCTTTCACGTACACATTCAGCAATGCGAAGCAAAAGCAAAGAGAATGTCTCTCTTAGAGGGCGAAGGGTGAGCTCGCTCACCATGTGCTGCTGGTGGTGCAAGCCGCCGCCGCCAGCAAGGCCCATAGGTGACATGCGCGTGGGCCCACCGCCACCGCCACCGCCCCCCGTCATGTGGCCGCGCATGCCACCATCATGCTGCTGCTGCCGCTGCTGCTGCTGCTGCAGCTGCCCGACCATCTCCTGCAGGTGGCGCGTCTGCCTGCACCGTAACGGGAGCAAGGTGGGGCGATCACCAGGGGCTGTGCAGAATGAGCGCCATTGAGCGTGCTGGCTGAACAGCCGCTGACCTTGCACCGAGATTAGTAGCCCCGTTTCAGGTGCGATCACACCGACACCGACTACCGTATCGTTCTGTGAAGCCTTTCAGGCTCCCCCGGTCCAACAGCCGTCGCCTCTGTCTGGCGGCACAGTAGCCACCTCATCATTGCCGCCATTTACCCGTCGCCCCAATCAATAGGCCTCGCCGTCCCACGCTCACTTGGACTTGTGTTCGTACTTGGTGGCCATCTCCCTCAGCTCCTGGTCCAGTAGCTCACACTTGTGCTTCGCCTGAAGGGGCGTAGTTCGGGGCCATGCATTGCTCAGACTGGGAGCGCACAGGGACGCTTGAGATGCAACGACAGGGACAGGTGGTAGCTGCGGGTCGGCGCTGTCCCTGGCGAGCAGCGCCCGGCTGGGGCGGAGCCTCGTGGCACGACAGCCTGTGCTGCGTGTTTGGCTGGGGCAGGCGCAGCTCACCGCCTTGTAGGCCTTGTGGATCTTGCCCAGCTGCGCCTCGCAGTGGGCCCTGAGCTGCAAGCAGGGCGCAGGAGGTCCGGCAGCAGCGCGGACGTGGGCAGGTTGTCGGACGGTGACTCAGCGTGCGGCGGCTCAGCACGCGCGGCGGTGGGCATGAGGGGCGCCAGCAGTAGGGGTGCTCAGGCCTGGTTGCAGGCGACACCAGGGCCGGCGCCAAGGCGTGTAGGCGTGCGGCTGCTCAAATTGCAAGCCCCGCCAGCCTAATCACCACGCAATGGAGGCGGAATAGGCCAGGAACAATGACATCCCAAACTTATGAACCTGCCAACGCGCTCACCTTCACCATCTTCTTCTCGCTCGCCATCTCCCGCTTGGCGCATGCCCTCTCGCGCACCTCCTCCGCGAGGGCCTGCTGCCGCCTGTAGAACTCTATGCTGCACGCCAGCGCGCTGAGCGCCGTCTCAGGGGTCTGGCCGAGCAGCGCCATCTGTGGTGGCAGCGGTGGACCGGCCATTCTAAAGGCAGGGACCACGAGGTGACGTGGCATGCAGCCGGAGGGCTCCACTTGGCTGAAATTGTTTCGAGCACAGAACGTACTCGCCCAACTGGGGTCCTTCAGGCCGAGCGGCAAGCAGCATCAGGCTCACCCTTGTGTCATTGCTGTTAGGCTGGCTGACCCTCAGCACTTTGACTGATCTGCAAGGCGGAGGGGTTGCGGCATTGAAGGAGAGCTGGCAACAATGAATGCGGCATCAACAGCACAGTCCAGGCTCGTGCACTGGTGCACCCTGTTGAGGACTTGCTTGCAGAGTTCAAGGCTTTAGTTGACCAGCTGGTGGCAGGGCGAGCCCTAAGCAGTCGGCCATACAAAGCTTCCCGAGCACAGGCAGTGTCTAGCACGGGCGGCTCACTCTTTGGAGATTGGGCCGTTGCACACGCTGCAGGGGTCACCGGCCTTGACTATAATCTCAGCACACGGCAGGCCTTCAAATCCAGGATGGATAGATTTGTGAGCGTTGTGGTGCAGGCAATTGCAAATACATAAGCCAAGAGCTTGAGAGTCGCCCAGCACGTACGGTCACAAGTGCACTGAGAAAATTGGCCGGCACGTAACCACACGCTGCAATCCACCTGCAACTCACAGAAGAAGTGGGCGCAGGGGGTTGCGATGCATCTGTCTCCAGGCACAACATATTGCCAGCACGCATTGCACTTGATGGTCCGATCCATTGTCTTCGCGGGTCCCGCGTGCTGAGCGCGCTCTGTGGGCGCTACTGGCGCCGCCGCTGAGCAGGCCTGCGGTACTGGCACGATTCCCAGCTTATATGGATGATAAGCCTATCTAGGCTGTCCGCTGGAGGTTCATGCCTTCGCGGGCCCGCTTGCCATCGCAAGCGTAGTGAGGAGCAAGATCCAAGGTTTCAGCGTCTCAGTGTAAGAAATATAAGCCTTAGATAGCCGGGTAAAACCAACGACAGGCCCGTGGAGCGGCAGCAGGATAGCAGCTGCTTGATCTGACTGTTCAAAAATCACGCTGCAGGCACGCGTGGATTGTATTCATGACGCGTGGGTATGTAAGCCTGAAAGCCAAAAACACGCAATGGCTACAATAGCGCCGTACAACGGGTCCCACGCGCAAGCCGTTGCAGCCGCTTGTGCTGTGGGTGCTGCGGGCGCTGCGGGCGCTGTGTGCATCGTCCGCGAGGGCGCGACGGCGATCCATATGAACACCTTGCAAAAATTGGGATTCAGGAGCAAGACGTCGACCAGCTGCACGCCGGTGTGCTACCTGTGCTGCAGGCGCTGTCGTCCACTGCGTCTGCATAGCGCAAGTTGCAGTTTGCTGCCGGAGCAATCACCCGGCGGCCGCGTGCCCAACAGGCTCCTCAATGACCCCAATTTCATTGCAGGACCTGATTGTTACTCATCACGGCATTACCAGCGCAATAATGCTCCTGCCCTGCGGCGCTTCGCCCTCCGACGTCGAGCAGCCCCAGTTCTGCAGCAGGTGCTTGGGATGACGCTCTCGCCCATGGCCGCGACACGCCACCAGCAGCAGCCCGTCCAGCCCAAAGTCACACGTGCAAGGCCGTCAATCACCCTGCAGCAGTATGCAGCCTGCTTCAGTAATGCCCTTCAAGGCTGGCTAGCCGTCCCGTCGTGTTGATGCGCCGTGTCCGCTGAACGCTCCCTCCATCCACCCACCCCTGTGGCTCAGGCTGGCCGCCATGGCCACGACCTTCAAGACACGTGGCCTCCTGCTGCCCGCGCACCTCGCACCCCACCCCTCGGTCTTGGCCCTCACATGCGGCAGCAGCCACACGTGAGGTCGCGTGCCAAGACCAGCACCAGAACTTGCCGCAAGTTACAGCGGCTGTAAACGTCCAACTGCAGCTGCTTGATTGGCTGCTGCGGCTGCATCTTCCGTCCGATGGCGTGTGCACACTATGGTCACGCTGAATTACATGTGATACTCACCACCCCTTGCATGCGCACCCAACCTGCCGGCCCCCACAGGCCTGCAGCCACAGTTCCCGTGCACTGGCTGCTGCCTGGAGATGACCCCACCCTCTCAGCCATCTCCTTAGTGGATAGCCTAGCCTCTACCATGGCGGCTGCCAAAGATGCCTCGCAGGCAGCGGCGGACGGAGTGGTGTCGTCGCAGCGCCTCGCCGACGCCGCGCGCTGGGAGGCGGTCGCTGCGAGCGTGGGGACGCTGCCGGGCCTGCAGGGCGCCGGCGAGGCGGCCGCGGCAGCGCTGCTGGCGGGCGCGGGGTCTCTGGGAGCGGTCGCGGCGGCGGGTGTGGATGACCTGCTTCTGTTGTGTGGTGGGAATGCCAACCTGGCAGAATGCCTTTGGCGGTTTTTCAGTGGCGAGCTGCATGATGCAGGCTTAGGCTGTGGGAGCTTGTAAGCTGACATGTCAACATCAGGCTGTTGGTCCGTGCCTGGCATGTGTTGAAAGCTGACCTGGCGACAACAGCGTTGGCTTTGGTGTGCACAGCCTTGCACCCAACGCCCCATGTGCATTAGGCTCAGCTGTATACAAGGGTTACAGCACAACAAATATGTACATTTCTACTGCTGCTGCCACACCACAACCTCACACAGTGCGACTGCGTCACCGTTGCCAGGGTTTACCAGACTGGCAGTTGCAACCTCAAGAAGCCACAGAGTTGTATTGCGCAACATCACCTGGCGTCTCAGTCGGCTTCCGAAATGCCACCCTCTCCACCTTCAGCAGTGATCCCCGCGTTTCGCCGGTACGTGTAAGCCGTCATGTCCACCCCGTCCATCGGGCTGGCATCTGCCGCATCCAGGTCTGCCTCTCTTGAATCACCCCCGCCGGCCGCTGGCCGCGCGGCGGCCCCCGGTCTGGACGTCTGCACACGGAAGCCGCCCTGCAGCTGCTGCTGGCGCGTCGCGAGCATCTTGGCCTCTGGTAGCTCCTCTTGCAGGGCCGGGTGGGACGGCGCCAGCTCGCCCAGGCGTTGCAGGCTCTCAACCGCGAGCTGCGGCTCTCCAAGGTTGAGTCGTGACCTGGGCGGTAGGGGTGAAGGTTGAGGCGCAACGCGAAGAGTTGGGGCAAGGAGGGCGTGGCAACAGGCTGAGCCCTTGCGCTGGTGTGAGAGGGTCACCCCTGATGTCGGTTGCAGCGACCCCTAAACATGCGAATCAAATGGCACGTCCGTAGTGCCTGCGGCTTGCCCGCTAGCAGATGCGATGAGATTTTGAACAGCAAGCGATGCACATGTCACATCTAAGCGGTCCAGCGCGCTGCACCTGGCCAGCGTCAGCCAGGCATCTGGCCAGTCAGGCTGCAGGCGTGTGGCGCGCTCTGCTGCCTGGACTGCTTCAAAATCGCGGCCGAGCAGCAGCAGGACCTGAGGGGTCAGGGTCGCGGGCGGCCGCAACGACACGCATAAGTGATTCTAGACTCAGCAGGTGATACAAAGCAAGATGTTGTTCAAGGCGCTCGCGCTGCCACGATCGGTTAGCCCCACGCAACACCTGAGCGTTATACAGGGCAGCAGGCACAGAGCAGATGGGCCAGCGTTGCTTGTCGAGGCGCACGCCGGTCCGGCCCCCTGGCGGCATGTGCCATCGCCAGGCACTAATCCATGCAATCGCCAGCTGCCACGGGCTGGATCCTGATTCACCTGTGCGCGCATCTCCTCCAGCCGCGCGTCCTCCCCGTGCAGCAGCGCCTGGAAGCCATTTCAAGAGAGACGGCGTGCGCCCTCAGCTACCCCTGCGCACTGCTGCTGCTGCTGCTGCTGCTGCTGCTGCTGCTGCTGCTGCTGCTGCTGCTGTTGCCCAATCACCAACATCAATCAGGAGAGGCAGCCAGAAAATAGGCCAGTGGGTGTTCAACCAAACGCAAGAAGCGAAACAAACACTGAATTCTAGCTGCAGAGCTGGGCAGCTGCGTTGAATCGAGCCAATGAGCACGTCACCTTTCCAAAAGCATGGAGGGCGCCGGCATAGTCCCCCGCCTGAGCCGCCTCCACGCCGCACCGTCTCAGTTCCTCTTTGCTGTCAACAGCGTCTGGCGGCGGCGGTGCCGCGCTGCCCCTTGGGCCGCTTGCGCCACCCTGGGCAGCGGCGTGGGCAGCGGCGACATCACGATCACTATCGTCGCCATCAGACTCGTCGCCACCGCCGCCAAAGGCTTCAAGTGTGGGTTGCAATACTTTGCGTTGGTTGTCTTGAAGTCGAAATGACATGCCTCTACACTGCAACGCGGTGTCGAAGTTGGGAGGTACCGTATATAGTAGATGAGAACTGCGCTTGCTCTACGGTGTTGCAGGTCTGCACTACAGTATTTCGATTTGAAACGAGTTTCCAGAGATGCTGTGAAGGCACCAACCGGCACTGCGGTGCTGCGCGAGGCGGGCGTCGCTCGCCGTGCCGCCAAGACTGTCACAGGCAGTGGCACTGCATTCAACCTGCAGTGCGAACAGGCTGGAATTGAGCAGCACGCTTGAGCTTACATAGGCCGCAGCAGCATCACCAGCAGATGTCGAGCGCGGCCACCGAGCCTCAGCCAGCTGATCCCGGCGGTGCGCACAGTGCCCCACCGCCTCCGCAGCCCGCGGCCGCGCCACGCCCCCCAAGGATCAGGAAGACGCTAAACTCAGTGATAGGTGCGCCGCCGCAGCTCCTTGCACCCCAGCATGCAAACCCGCGCTTGCCCATGCCCCCAGCCTCCGGCTCCCAGACTGTGCGTCCTCAGACTGTGCAAAGGTCTCTGCTGTGCGCGGGCGCCGGCACCGCAGCGCCTGCCCCCACCCTGCAGCGCCCGCCTCTCGCCCGCACACGGCACAACCCCACCGATCGCCGCAGTGGAGCTGCAGCAAAAGGTGAAAGACTGCCAGCTGCGCCTGGACCGCGAGGCCGCGTGCAACTTTGAGGCAAAACTGGAGCTCGAAATGCTGAAGGCCATCTGGTACTCCCGCGGCGCCGTCGAGGGCCTGCTCGCCGCCGGTGGCGGCGACGCCGGCGCCGGCGCGGGCGCGGGCGCGGCATCGAGGACGCCTGCATGCGGCTCCCTCTCGGCGCAGCGGCGCGGCGGCGGCGAGGAGGACGCCGCCACGCAGCTGTCGATGCACGTTGAAGGGCTTAGGCAGCTCATCTTTGCGCAGCCGCCGCGGGCCAGAGGTCGCGGCGGTGGCGGCGGCGGCAGCGGCAGGGGCAGGGGCAGGGGCAGGGGCAAGGGTAGGGGCGCGGCCGCGGCGGACGATGTGGACGCGGGCATGCTGAGCGTGCTGGCGGGGTCCCCGGCGATCGCATTGGCGGACGTCCTGGAGGGGTGGGCGGTCTGATGCTTGGCGTCACCTCGTTTGCGATGGCATGCCCGCCCTGCATCACACGGGCTTCGTAGACAGGGGTGCTTGTGTGCGCAAGCAAGCGGTGCCGGATGCCAGCCTGCCCGCCCGCATCGCACTCGACTTGCATGCATGCCCGCACGCGTGCTCGCCCCTCAGCCTTGCTCGCCAGGCCCCAGCCATGTGCGAGCAGCATTCCCCTCATCCCTCACCAACCAGCGCTGTCCCAGCCCCTGCCCGTAACCAAGGCGCTCGCCGCTTGAGGCCCAACACCTGAGAGATCCGCCCGCTCCCACTTGCGACCCCGGTCGCTGCGCGCAGCATCCAGCGAGAGCGGCTGGGGCCGATTATCGACACGGCCGCTTTCAGGGCCCGGTGGACGCCCACTGTGCTGCAGGGGCGCCAGGCCGTCGCGCTCGCCCAGTGCGGCGACCCCCTATCTACCGCGGTGTCTAAGGTACGTGGCCGCCAGCCCAAGGGTTACAGGGTTTGGGGGTCTGAATTTACCTTGCAGCAGCTCTGTGCACACCTGGCGCCTCAAGCGGGCGTACCCAGCGCAGTGAGACGTGATGCGCGAGGGCCGCAGTGGGGTGCAGCTGAACGCGCCACCCCACTTCCCGCCCTGTGCGTCCGCTGATTGCGCCCCTCACCTGCCCTTGCATGCGTGCACGCGCGGCGCCCGCGCAGCTGGCGCTGGACTCGTCCGCGGCCAGCCTCGGCGTGCTGGTGTTCCGCCCCTGGGCGATCGACCTCATGCGCATCCGGCTCGACAGCGGCGAGCCGACGCCGGGCGCGCCGGCCGACGCGTACGACCGCGTCGTCGCAGATCTCCATCTGACAGAGCGGCAGGTGGGCGGTCTGGGCGGTGGGCCCGCCGACCAGGATCGCTGTTTGCGACGAGTGCACCGCCTCAGCGCGGCATGCTGGACACGGCACGACTCGACGCGACACGCGAGTCCTGACTGCTGTCGGCGCCGCCCTTTTCGCTCTCAAAAACTGCAACGCCCGCAGCAAGCCGCGTTCCTGGCGCTGCGGCGGTGGTGGGAGCGCAACCTCGCGCAGATCAACGCGCGGCGCCGGGAGCTGGCGCTCGAGGCGCTCAAAGCGCCCGAGGATGTCGCGCTGCAGTCCGAGGTTGCGGATGATCTGGAGCAGGCCGCGCGCATGTAAGCTCCTAGCTCACACGCGTGGGTCCGTGTACGCAGCGGAGTGGGCGTCGCATGTGATGGCTAGGGCTGGAGTTTGGGGCTGTGCAGGCAAGGCCAATTCAGCTAGCCGCAAAGTTGCGACCCCAACACCTGGACGCTGTGCAAGCCTTGTCACTGGGCCAGGGCGGGCCGAGCGCTTCACCGGCCATCATTGCAAAGTCCCATGTTGTGACTTGTGGCGATATGAATGCAGTAGCTAGGTTTTGGGATGCGACTCGCGCGTGCACCACGGCATCCCTGCAGGTACCCTATCTCGTGTGCTGCAGGCATCATCGTTGCGCACACTGCGCTGCTGACATCGGGCCAACTGCTGTGGTTCCATGCGCTTTGCTACCCCTGGATGCCGAGCTTGACAGGATTGCTGGATGCGATCAGCAGGCGCCAGCAGCAACAGCAGCAGCAGCAGCAGCAGCAACAGCAGCAGCAGGGCCAGGAGCAGCAGCAGCAGCAGCAGCAGCAGCAGCAGCAGCAGCAGCAGCAGCAGCAGCAGAAGGAGAAGGGCGAGGATCAGCAGGGGCCGGCAACGCCGCCCCCAGCACCGCAGGCGCTGCCACCACCCGAGGCACTGCCGCCGACACACCCCCGAAGGCAGGAATGGAGCGGCTCCCGAGCCGGAGCAGCTGCCAGCGACTCAAAAGCTTGACAACAGCAGCTGAGTCCTGGGTTGGTGCCTGGCGCCTGGCGCCTGGCGCTTCGTCTGCACTTCGCCTGCAGCTTTCAAATCAGCTGCTTGCAGAGAGGCTGCACCCCTGGCCTCTTCTTGGTGGCCAACAGCCCTCGCTATTAATGGACATTGGGTTGTGTGTTTGTGGGGCGGCGCAACGACCTGTTGGGAAGGAGATCGATCAACGGCCGCTTCACAAGCAGGGGTGCGCTGCGTTGGAGGGGAGGAGGCCCCACCAATTGCAGCTCCTTTTGCCACAATGCTGGCATCGGGTGTGAACGTCTTTGTAGCACGTGGGGTTCTTACTGGAATGTTTGTTCAGCCAAAAATCTTCAGGACACGCTGGTGTGGTCGGCACTGCCAAGAGTGCATGTGCGCATCCTATGCACATGCATCCCAGTTTGGTGCACGACTCAGACCTGAGCCTTTACCCTGGCCGCCACTTCTGCCACCATCTCATATCCACAAAGACTCGGCAACTTTCACGCTGGAGTTGTATGTGAAGTTTGGTATCCAGCTGGGATGTGTTGACACCCTCTTCGTTTTACCTCGGATTTATTTGACTGGCCAAACCTTATCTTGGCTTTTGGGGGCCCCTCCTGCAGCGTGGTGGCATGGCCACAATTGCACGCACACCTCCTGGCTCCACCAGCAAGACCCAGCAGTTTTGCCAGCTCATGGCTGCCCCCACCATCACAATCGCAAGTCGGCGCACGCACAATCCCTCATGGCACACACTCATGCTACTCTACGAGCCTGATCTATCTGTGCAGCAGCACCTCCGCGCGAATGCCACCGTTGCTGATATCATCCGTGACGTGGCTGTCCAGTCTGAGTCTGCGGCTGCCCATTGCTGTATCCTGGCGAAGTCTTGAAGACATGCCCATGTACAGACTGATGGCTGATTCCCGCCCACTTGATCTCGTTTTTTTTAGGGGGCCCTGGTGAACTGGTACTGTGGTGGCTGCAGCCTGCACGTTTGACTCCAGGACTGCACGTTTGCAAGACTTTGACGCGAAGCGCCAGAGCTGCCACAATTGCTTCAGAGCACCCCGGCATGCTTCAGGGACGCGTAGGAGCATCTGGTTGTTGGGCCCTTCAATCCATTGCCCATGCGACATGTGCGCGGTTTTTGGCGGCTTGCAGTTTAGCTGCGGGGAGTTGTGTGGCGTTTCGGAGTACCTGGGCATGTGGTGCAGTGGCGCACCGCATGTCCTCGGGGTGAGGCGCAGCCACTGGCAAACAAAGCATGGAAGCTGACAAGAATTCATGCCGCGAGAACTTTGCCTTTGCCCTGCTAGGTGTTGACCCACTGGCTCGCCTGGGGGCACCACGCACGTCCGTTCGTCTGCAGCATGGCTGGTGGTGTCGACATGTATATGCACCCCACCTGCACGCAGCCGCCCTTCTAGGCAGGCCAAGAAAACATGGGTTCATTTTGCAGCTCGGCACTGTGCTCCTGGGAGCGCTGCCATTGACCGCTTCGACGCTGCTTGAACTTTGTTGGGGGGAATCACAATCACCACTACCCTGAGGGACTTTAGTGTGCCCTTCCTGGGCCTCAAGCCGGTTTTGTCACGCTTTGAATATGTTTGAGTGTCTATTCTATCACCAGTAATGATGCTGTGCGACCTGTATAGGTGCTGTAACAAAATACCAAGCGAGGATGTGGGAGCTGGGGCATCAGCATGGTGTCGACCTTGTGCACCACCACGCTCAGCTATGTACCCATGTTCCTTGCTCTGACAGGCTCATGTCCGCACGCAGGTTGTGCCCATGCTTGAGGCCTGCTTGAAGGCGTTGTGTTGCGCGGGTGCGCTGCCCACCAACCAACAGCCGCCCAAGCAAGCAAAAGCGGCACTGCTTTGTCGCGCATGGTCACGATCCGGGCCGTCACTGTGCTAAGGCATCGCACAATGCTGCGGCATGCGTTTGTCGGATTTTGCTTTACAAACAATCATGCGTTCATCGTTGGGGTCTTGGTGAGCTCCAGATCACCGTCATAATGAAGCTTATAAAAGACTCGAGAGGATGCCAACTCCTTCAAGAGGACATCCAGTCCAAACTGATGGAGCTGCTGGGGTCACCCGAGGAGGAGGCGGGCGAGGAGGAGGACGCGCTCGCTCGCTTCCTGGTGCTGCTGCTCAGCAAGGGCACAGACCGCGCGACAATTGAGCAGGAGGTGATGGACGTAATGCCAGAGGAAATGGGTCCTTCCTTTGTTGCTTGGTGAGTACAAATGTCGTGTCGGCGCCGTGCTTCGGCTGCGCATGTGTTTGTGGGATCGCGGCCGCTTGCCGCATCCTGCTGCAGCCTCGGCCAGTTGTTGCATTCAAATATGGTAGCACATGCTTTTAATTGATGTTGATAGCGGGCGTGCACGGGGCGATCAAGTTCCACTGCAGCGGCCGCTGTGCCAGTGACAGCATGTTGTGTCCGCCGCTCCTGATATTGCGTGACCGCCCGCTGCAACCGCATCCGCGTCTCAGGCTGTACGAAACCCTGAAGCATCAGCCAGATCGTTACTATTCCCCAGAGTGAGCGCCGCTGCTGAAAGGAAGCAGGGGTGCCATGCCAGCACCAGCCCGGGGGATGGCGTGGCTTCTGCTGGGCTCGCCTGCATGTGGCTCCAACCCTTGCCCACCCCAGCAGGCAGCGCCCCCACCCCAGCCTGCCTCACTCCTCACGCATTGTACAGGGACGAGGCTGCGGCTGGGGAAGAGGCGCATGGCAGAGTGGCAGGCGGCCAGGATGAGGAGGAGCTCGTGGATTTTGGCGGGGACGATGACGACGCTGACGTGCAGGGGGCGGCGGTGGGGGATGAGCAAGATGACGAGGATGACCACCAGCAGCAGCAGCACGAGCCAACTGAGCAGCGCCAGCAGCAGCAGCAGCAGCAGCAGCGCCAGCAGCAGCAGCGCCGCCGGCACGGAGAGGAGCGTCTGACAGACGATGCGGACGGCAGCAGCGGGCGGAAACGCAAGGCCATGTGAGGGTGCTTGCGCGAGTTCGTTCATTTCCGATGTGTTCAGCACGCATGCACAGAGGCCATGCATGGGCGCGAGCTTTCATGACACGAATACTCGCGTGCGTCACAGCTGTCGCTAGCCCCTGACCCGCCAATGACTCAGAACACCTCCACCCCTGCCGGCGCACCGCTCCTCAACCGAAGCGTTTTCGAAGCGCCTGAGCAGCCGGCTGCGGAGGCAGCGGCCCCAAGGACAAGCAGCAAGTTCGCAGGCCGAGTTGCGAGCAAAGTGGAGGTGGCGCGGCCGGCGGACGCCAAGCCGGCGCGGAAACAAGACGCCAGGCCGGCGCCGAGGTCCGAGGCAAGGCCGGCTCCGAAGGATGGCGCTGGCGGCACCGGCGGGGGCGTGGGGCCCAGCGCGCGCGGCGCGGCAAGGGCCGGGCGCCCGGAGCGGCCGCGGCTGGGCGTGCTGGGGGCCGGCATGATGCGGTCCCTCAAGTCCACGCTGCAGAGCGCCCGGCAGGAGGTCGTGCGGCCGGCCCTGAAGATGAGCAGGGAGAAGATCGAGGAGAAGATCGCGGCGGCCAAGCGCAACACGGCCGCTGCGCCCGCGGGCGCGGGCGCGCAGCGCGACCTGCGGGCCACGCTGACCGCGCGCCGCTCGGGCAGCGGGGGAGGCGACGCGGCAGCGGCTGCGGCAGCGGCGCCTGGAGAGCCGGCAAAGCGGGGTGCGGCGGGCTCGTCGCCATCGCCGGCGGGGCCGGCGGCGGCGGCGGGCCTGGGGCCGCGGAAGCAGCCGCTCAAGTCGCAGGTGGTGAGGCCGAGCGCGGGCCTGAAGGCGGCTGCCGCCGCGGCAGCGGCGGCCGCCTCAACGGCGTCAGCAATGTCTGGGCTTAAAGTGGGCGGCGGCGGCAGCGGCAACGGCGGCGCGGAAGCGGGGGGCGCGGCCGCCGGTCCTGCAGTTTTGGGCGGGGCGCCTCGGAATGTGTTTGAGCGTTTGAGTGGCGTCGGCAAGTCTGGGGCGGCCGCGGCAGCTGCAGCGGCCCGCGCGGCGCAGCCGGAAAAGCAGCCGGCGGCTTTGGCTGCCAAGCAGCAGCAGCAGCAGCAGCAGCAGCAGCAGCAGCAGCAGTCGAGGCCACAGGCAGTGGCCCCGGCGCAGAACCAGGGGGGTGCCGGCGGGCGGCCCAGCGTATTTGCCCGGCTTGGCGGAGCGGCAGGGCTGGCGCAGCTACCAGCAGCAGCAGCAGCAGCGGCGGCGGCGAACGCTTCGGCGCCCTCACCCACGCCGGCGGTGGCAAGCAGCGACCAGCGGGCGGCCAAGGTTGCCAGAACCAACGGCGCACCGCAGCGCGGCGCCGCGC